CCATAGAGATTACACGTAAACGGAAAATGGAATTATCAAATCCCACTTTGTAAGTGAAATATGAGCATGATCCCGGCATCTGATCGAAAATTAAAGGGCACACTTACGATAGCATATTGACTCAGCTACAACATACTCAAAGCTCAGCGTAAACGAAGATAAAACGACGGAGATATTGCTCGCGAAAGACAAGAATGTAGAAACCAGTTTTGAGAAAAAGTCATGTCCCATAGAGAATACACGCAAAATGTGAAAAATTGACATGCCTCCTTTAATCGCAAAAATACGCCATGATGCCATTGTTCAAATGAAATATCGTGTGAAATACATTCGTAGAAAATATTCTCAGCTAAAACATATCAAAATTTGAAAGAAAATTGATCAACATTTACAGAGATACAATCAATTTTCCAAAAATCTGCTAACGTCATAATATGCAAATTGAAATTTTAAGTTCGGAGGCCATTATGATGACGTCATGAGTTAATTGAGGGTCAAATGAGACATGAAATCATATCTCCGACTCATGATCTATCTAAATATGAAAAAAATTGGGGTATCTATCCATTCTGAAGAGTTAAAATGAATTTTGTATAGGCTTGTTTTTGCACATGTAATGTGGATAGGGATAATGCAGATCCGCGTGTGCTGTAAACTTTGACGGACGCTCATTGCGTTATCACTGGTCAGAAAAAGGTGAACAAGGTATCAAAATGCTTGGAAAAATGTGGTTGATATGATAGAGAAAATTTGGCGTTTCCATGTTGTAAAATGTCAGTACGCGCACTTACGCGCGGAAACGCGCGCAAAAAAGTGCTCTCGCGCAAAATCTTGAAAATGCTTACAATTGCCTGAAACGTGTGCAAAAAAAATTTGGAACGAATTTGAGCATTTTAAAATTTTAATGCGCGCGTACGTGCGCGTCGAGGTGCGCGCGCAAATTTTGTTGACATTTTTAGTTGAACTTTGACCTGAAGTTGATGTATACCAAATATGGTTTATTTTTGAAGACTCGTTATCGAGATATGATAATGACTTGATTTTTACAAAATGGCGCCTGGATGACGTCACGATGACCCCATGAACTTGAAAAAGGTTTCGGGAACTTGATATTATAGGGCCTAATGACTATCAGAAATTTGAAGGAATTTGACCAAGTCGATTTCGAGTAAACGTATACACAAAAAAAGTGTACGGAAGAAATAAAAATAAATAAAGAATAAAGAATAAAGAAAGAAAATTCTAACGAAATCAATAGGTGATCTGTCATCGACAGACCACCTAATAATAATAAAGAAAGAAAATTCTGACGAAAACAATAGGTGATCTGTCATTGACAGACCACCTAACTAGAAATTTAATTCGTCATGGGGACGAATTAGGTGGTCTGTCTTCAAGTCTTATGAGAGATTATAATATTTACTATATTGAGAAAGGGAGAAGTTATATAGACATGTAAACAATGATGATCATCATGATGATCATCATGATGATCTTGATAGTAATGGTGATGACGATGATGATGATGATCATGATCATGATGATGTTGATGATTATCATCAACAGACCACGATGACATCAGACTGAACAAAATTAGAGAACATTTAGATAGCGTATAGTCTCAGCTACAACATACTCAAAACTCAACAAAAACCAAGCCGAAATAACGGCGATTTTGCTCGCAAAAGACAAGAATGTAGAATCCAGATTTGAGAAAAAGTCATCTTCCATAAGGATTACACGCCAAAAGTAATGGATCTAGTGATAATAGGGCAATAATAAAGTAAAAATGGTTGTTTATTACATTATTTGCGATTGTACGTGTTTTAATATTCAAAGGAGATGGTAGAGTGAAAGGTCAAAAAGAAAAAAAGTGAAGAAAAAAAAATTGTTGGAGACGCCCGGACTCGAACCAGGGACCTCGAGGTCGGAAGTCAAGTGCGTTACCGATATACCAAAACATTTCCCATAGAGATTACACGTAAACGGAAAATGGAATTATCAAATCCCACTTTGTAAGTGAAATATGAACATGATCCTGGCATCTGATCGAAAAATAAAGGGCACACTTGTGATAGCTTATTGTCTCAGCTACAACATACTCAAAGCTCAGCATAAACAAAGATAGAACGACGGAGATATTGCTCGCGAAAGACGAGAATGTAGAATCCAGTTTGAGAAAAAGTCATGTCCCATAGAGAATACACGCAAAATGTGAAAAATTGACATGCCTCCTTTAATCGCAAAAAACGCCATGATATCTTTGTCAAAATGAAATTTTGTGAAGACTGCATTTGTAGAGAATATTCACAGGTAGAACATATCAAAATTTGAAAGAAAATTGATCAATATTTACAGAGATACAATCAATTTTCCAAAAATCTGCTGACGTCATAATATGCAAATTGAAATTTTGAGTTCGGAGGCCATTATGATGACGTCATGAGTCAATTGAGGGTCAAATGAGACATGAAATCATATCTCCAATTCATACTCTATCAAAATATGAAAACAAAATTGGGTTCATCTTGCATCCTAAAGCGCTACAATGGATTTTGTATAGGCATGTTTTTGCCCATGTATGCTATGTATTACAAGAGCTCGCACGCACGGACATTATCTTAAACAGACGCTCATTCCGTTATTAATGGGCAGAAAAAGGTGAACAAGGTATCAAAATGCTTGGAAAAATGTGCCAAATATGATGACAGAGAAAATTTTGCGATTTTACGATGGCAAATACCAGTACGCGCAAAAACGCGCGCGCACGAGTGTGCGAGCTTTTTTTTGCGAAACGCTTAAAATGGCCTAAAACGTATGCAAAATTAATTTGAAACGATTTGGAGCATTTTAATTTTTTGCGCGCGCGCTGACGCGCGGACGTACGCATGCGCGCGCGTACTTTGACCTGAAATTTACCGGACGGATATTGACCTTAATCATGATAAATATTAATAAGAAATTCCTCTCCGTTATGAAGATATGATCATGAATTGAAAGTACCAAAAAAAATACAAAATGGCGCCTGGATGACGTCATGAAAATTTGATGACCTTGAAAATGTTCCTGTCACGTCTTATGGCAATGACCTATGACTGTGCCAAAATTTAACAAAATTGACTGAACTGATCTTGAGTTATCCTGTACACAAAAAAGTGGGGAGAAATAAAAATAAATAACTAGATTTGTAATACTTGTTTGGTACAAGTATAGGTGGGCTGGTCCAGCTAACATTTTAGACAAAATGAAGGGCACATTTGAGATAGCTAATTGTCTCAGCTACATCATACTCGAAGTTCAGCGTAAATGAAGCTAAAATGACGTAGATGTTGCCCGCGAAAGACGGGAATGTAGAATCGAGTTTTGAGAAAAAGTCATGTCCCATAGAGAATACACGCAAAATGTGAAAAATTGACATGCCTCCTTTAATCGCAAAAATACGCCATGATACCTTTGTCAAAATGAAGAATAGTACTGACTGCATTTGTAGAAATTTGTCTCAGCTAGAACATATTAAAATTTGGAAGAAAATTGATCAATATTTACAGAGATACAATCAATTTTCCACAAATATGCTGACGTCATAATATGCAAATTGGAATTTTGAGTTCGGAGGCCATTATGATGACGTCATGAGTTAATTGAGGGTCAAATGAGACATGAAACAATATTTCCGAATCATACTCTTTTAAAATATAAAAACAAATTGGGGTCACCTTGCATCCTAAAGAGCTACAATGGATTTTGTATAGGCGTGTTTTTGCCCATATATGCTATGTATTACAAGAGCTCGCGCGCATGGAGATTTATGTTAAACGGTCGATCATTCCGTTATTAATAGTCATAAAGAGACAAACATGGTATCAATATGTTTGTAAATATATGTGGTATATTATGAAAGAAAAAAAAAGGCAATTCAATGTTGTGCAAAAGTTTTACGCGCGAAAACGCGCGCGCATGCTCGTACGCGCGATTTTTTATAAAATGCTTAGAATGGCCTAAAACGTATGCAAAATGATTTTCAGACGATTTTGAGCATTTCAAAATTTTGCGCGCGCATTGACGCGCGGACGTACGCGCAGGCGCGCGTTATTTGACCTTTTATTGACCGGACGGATATTGACCTTGATCATGATAAATATGAACGAGAAATACCTTTTGGTTATGAAGATATGATCATGAGTTGATTTTCGTAAAATTTTACAAAATGGCGCCTAGATGACGTCATCAGTCAAGGTCAATGTTGAAAACGTTATTGTGCTTTGTACATATGTCTATACATATGTGTGCCAAATTTCTAGGCATTTGATTGAGCCATTTCCAAGTTATCTTGTTCACAAAAAAGTGGTTAGAAATAAGAAAAATATATAAATAAAGGCAATTCTAACGAAATTATAAGGTGGTCTGTACGTTATACAGCCCACCTGATAAAGGCAATTCTAACGAAATTATAAGGTGGTCTGTACTATATACAGCCCACCTGATAAAGGCAATTCTAACGAAATTATAAGGTGGTCTGTACGTTATACAGCCCACCTGATAAATAAAGGCAATTCTAACGAAATTATAAGGTGGTCTGTACGTTATACAGCCCACCTGATAATAATAAATAAAGGCAATTCTAACGAAATTATAAGGTGGTCTGTACGTTATACAGCCCACCTGATAATAGTCACGTTTGTATAGCCCTCATACTAGGTTATTAAGAGCTTTACATTGTTGGATTCAATTGCTAATCTGCACATGTTCCGCTCCACGGAGAGTATTTCTCAATGCTCTTAGCACTCTCAGTCAGCTTGGCTAAAGCAAGGATTAGATTAGTACTTTAGAGGTGCCTTGAGCATGAAAATGCACTTTATTATGCTAGAGGTATCTAATCCTTGGGCTGTTGTTGCTGTTCTTGTTGATGCTGTTGGAATGGTTGCTGTTGTTATTGCTGCTGTTCTTGTCGATATAATTATTATTATTTTAGAGCGATACAATTTTTCTTTTTTCTACAGGTGAGCCACACAAGATCACTGTGCCAACATTTGAAGAAACTGATAACCTCTGCATAGAGAACGGCAAAGCGCTTTCTATATCTGTGGATATCAGAGACAGAGCAGGGAACTTCTCAGTGCACCCAAAACTTGTAGTCCAGTGCAAGGTATGGGAAATTATTTCTTCCATCAAAATTTAGTATGGTGAAAGGTGTTCTTAAGTTCTACTCGGAAGGAATTTGACATGGCAAATGTCTTGATCAGTACATGTTTTTATGTGCCGGGAATTTTAGGGACTAGGTCATATACAGGTTAATTTGGGCTTGGGTTTGATAAAGATTGGTGATTGTTCCTTTCATACCCCCTTCACATACACGGATTTTTCTTACGAGTCCTTACAAATTAGGGCCTTCGTGATACAAGCATCAAGGGCAATTGCAAAACTTGTACAAATCCATAATCCTACGCCCAACCCTCTGTCTTTTATTTCATTAGTTTCATGGTGCGACTGGGTTGCCTTCATACAGAGCAGACTGCAGTCATTCAGGAACGGCTACTCTTACCGGTAAACCTATCTTCATCAGGAATATCTCTAAGAACTCTCAGAAGATCACTGCCAGAATTGAACTACTGGTAAGATGGAAATTCCGTATTAAACTGATCCTTTGAATGCAACGCCTTTCCTTTAAATTATTTTAACCTTATTATTCTCCAATGCATTACAGTTTGGTCAAGTATTATGTGTTAAAAGATTGTGATAATTAAAAAGATCGTAATGGATTAAAATGAATTGATTGATCAAGGAGCAAATTATCTTTTTAAGGAGTTTCAGTAGAAAAATAACTTAACATCACATTTGAAGGACTACGTGTGGGTCTTTCAGAATGTTTGTTCGTTGAAGAGTATTGTACACCTATATTTGGTAAGAATCTTACTTATCCTGCTCTCTTCTCCAAGCCATTGTACCTCCTAATAATGCATATTAAAATATCCATGTACAAAGTTTGTGCTTATTTTAAACAAGAAACCAAACTGTACTACTGTCAATTTCAATATATGAAACATTTACAATGCACATTTCAACATTAAGTCAGAAACTCTTGCGAAATCATTTTTTGCAAATTGTTAATAAGAGCAAACTGCACGGCAAGAAACTATCATAAATTGAAACAACAACAGCAAATGGTGTTTTTTTAAATTTATTTTGTGGCATGAACCTATCTCAAATCTGGACCACTCCCAATCTCTGACAAAATTTCTTGACACGTGAAAATAGTCACCTCTGATTTGATCTTCCCTTAGCACATCAAAGGAGTCAGCTCTGTAGAGAAAGCCATCACTGTCAAACCCAGCACCAGAGCCTGTAAGATCAAGGTATTCTTCTGCCAACACCAGTACCTTGATGACCCAAAGAAAAAACCTGTCGAGGTGGAACACAAAGGAGATATTGAGTGGACGGCCGGAGAGAATACATCACAGATCAGTGAGTAGAGAACAGTCATATATTTCAAGAGATTCTATTATTAATTAGAAACGCTGTTAAATCGAGTAATTAAAAAAAAGGCGTGTTCACAATAAACATGATTTTATGTGTTTAAAAAAGGCAAATGGGGGATTGAGAAAAAGAAAGTGCGTGTGTGTAGCAATTAACACCCCCAATTAAAGCATACTCACTGATCTGTGCATGAGACATGTAGTGTGTCAGATATGTGAGGCTTGCTGTAATGTTTAAAGGTAGCTTACCACATCATGTGGATTCAAGGATTTAATGATCCCTCTCTTACGATCTGTACAACGTATAATTGTTTTATATTTATTATCTCATGGTTTGTCTTATGCTTCTTATTGATATTGGTCCGTGTATAATATCTTATTTAAGTATGTATATTTATGTACTAGCCTATACCTTCAGGCTTCAGCTAATATAATAAGAGCCTTCTGCAGAAACCTGATTTTTTTTTTGGTGGTAATTCACAGGCATTAGTTGATGGTTTCTTTTCTTTTCTTATTGTGATTATTATTGTACTTTGTTTTCATGTATACTCTTTTATTGACATACTCCTTTATGATCTTGGAAATGAAATGAAATAGAAAACAGAATAACATGAAACTGTTTTATTCTTTTTCTGTCAGGCTTTGCTCTGTTTGATGAGGGTGACAACCGCATGGAGATTACTAAGGAGCAGGCAAACAAGTTCAAGTTCAACTGGTTACTCAGGTTCGACCCCTCCACCATCATGGAGGGGTACTTGCCCGCTATCAAGGTCCCCAAATCGGTGGGAGATATCAAGTTCTGTCAGCTGAGACTCACAGATGGATCGGGCCTGGAGTTTTCCTTCAACATCAAGTGAGTGTTGTATTAAAAGCAGATGCACATACGACGTGAAGATCGATATGTAGAGCAGGATTGCACTCTGTATTACAAAAGTTTTAGGCCAAATCTATAAAAAATTAAAAAAATGAATAGCGTCCTGCCTTTTTGAAAAATAGGGAGGAGGCCCTTTAAACAAAAACAAAAACAAAAAAAAGGAAAACGAAAAAAGGAAAACAAATTGAAAGAAAAAAAAGCAGGCGCCCCCCCCCCCCAAAAAAAAGAAAGCAGGTGGGGACGCTAAACATGATTTTTGTTTAAATGGCCTTATGTGATAACCTACTTGTTGTTACATTTGGCTAAATTAAAAGAAATACTGTTATTTCAGCTGCCTATAGTAGATTTATGTAGGCACTCCAAAATTATCCCTGAAACCACTGCCTTGTAACTACCATGTAAATAACAATTGTGTAAACATCCTAATTAAGTGAATGAAAATACCAAACTAAACTAATAATTATATTGACACAAGTGTTAAAAAACCCAGCACCAAGACTGTTTCGACAGGCAAGGAGGCTCGACGAGTCAATAGTAGAGCAGTGGTCTAGAAACAGGAGGTCCATGGTTCGATACCAAGTCGATGCTCTAGTGCCCTTTTAATTTAGGAGATAGTCCTCAATAATTGCCTCTGAGAGGAGTTACAGTCATTGGTCCACTGGTTGCTTACCTTCAAGCATGTACTTACTTTTTAGTAGTCATGTCAAACAAAAGAAACACAAAAACAAACATGAATGTTTTAAATCTTTACAATCGTTATTTTTGCGCTATTACCCTTTGGTAGGGCATTGATCCTCATTACCGAGTCCCTCGGAGAGGTCGTAAAGGTGTCGGTCCCCTGATTGTTCACTTACAGTCAGGTAAAATTAACACACAAACATAAATGTTAAAATCCTTACAATTGTAAACAAATTTCAGGCCAATCCCTGGCAAGGCCACGAAGATCAAGTGTCAAAGCAAAAAAAGTGTAAAGGTGAAGCTTGGAGAGATCTTAGATGGTGATATTGTCGTCCATGTCACTGATGCCTATGGGAACACTATACATGAGGTAAGAGAATAATGACGTATAAGTCCCAAGGAAAATGTTCAATTCATAAAGTTTGTACCATAGGCCTACTGCCTTATACATGAGCTGTAGAGCCACTTGAAACATGGATGCTGTGCCCTGCTTAAAGTCAAAGAAATTATGTAAGCAGCATCACTATTTACAACAAATTATGTGTCCCATAACTTATTTTGACTGCTTTTTTCGTTTCAAAATTAATATTCAAAGTTGAGGTAATGCCCCTTCGAACGCAATCAACAGTTCTAAATCGACATGCAACAAAGTCATATCACTAAGGATATATTGTTTCTTTTACAGCTCCCTCATGGTTCCTTGAGCAACCTCAGTGTGAAGGCAGACGATCTAGACATCAAAGTCCTGCAGAAAACCCTTCTACCTAACGTGGGATTTTGCCTTCAGAACATCAAGTTTGACGGTTCAACGCTAGGGGTCAGGGAGATCGTAGTGGAGTACAACACCTTAACGGATAAAATCAAATTAGAGGTGCTTCCCGGCCGACCGGCGAAGCTGAATGTGATGGGCTGGGGGCAAAATGAGGTATGGCTGCTAGGGGGGGGGGGGGGGGTTAAATAACACATGCTCCGGTGGTTGTACGACACTTGCTCCAGCCACGCTTTGTGTCAGTTTTGTCCACTGACCAAATTCAAAATGTCAACCCTGGACCGAATACCTAGTAAACCTATCCCAACTCCTCGACCTAATCCAAACCCAAAACCCAATTACAATCTTAACCCCTGTAACCTAAAACTTAACCCTATATCTTTGATGAAATAAAGCCAGGAGCAAGTGTCACTGCAGCATATATCAGAGAACCACTCCAATGAAGACTGCCCAGGAGGACATATCCTACAATTACTTGAATTACTAACTTCATCCCCGACTAAATACTATACCTAACCCTATTCATAGTCCTAGCTCTTACATGTATCCTAAACCTGACCTTAAACCCAATTATAATCCTTACCCAGGGCTCAAATTATTTGTTTGTCCACGGGGGCTCTTCCAAAAAAAGAGGCTCACGGGTGCTCTTTTAGTATGAGAATAATATGTTGAGAATGATAACAATGATGATAATCATGCTCCTCTTCTCTATAGACACTGATAGCATATGACGGCGTCCAGATCAGCAATCCATTGGATTTTCAAGTTTGTGATGAATCTGGCAATCTAATCTCCGATGTTAACGCAACTATCTCACTGCAATATGACAAGACATTAAAGGCGAGTGTTGCATTTCACCATATTTTAACATCTTCTCAATTTTCTTAGATGTGAAATATACAATGAATGAGTGGTTCCCTAATCTTTTTGGCCGTAGGATCTACGTCAGACATTGTAGATCACCTTTGTAATAATAACTTGTAACAATTGGGGCGTCTTATATAGCTCACATGCCCGCCATGATGCTCCTGACGCTTTCACATTATTACATCAGTCATATCTGACGGCTAATTATGGAGCGCTCTAGTATACTATCTATTTATCTATCTGAGTATCTTCTCCCGGTTCGGAGGTTGATTGCAACATCTCTCCATTTCACTCTATCTTCTGCCATTTTGGTGCACTCTTGCAGTTTTAGTCCACTCCAGTTCTTGACATTCTCTTCCCAGTTGATTCTGGGTCTCCCTCTAGGTCTACTTCCTTCCAATACATCCTTTAAGAGGCTTTGTTGCCTTTTAACATGACCAAAGTATTTGATTTTTCTCTCCTTAACTAATCCTACTAGTGGAATTTGTTTACGCCCTGCAATGTACAATATCTCTTTGTTGGTTTTCATTCGTTTCCAGGATATTTTCATCATTTCCACATTTCAAAAGATGTTATTCTATTTTCCATGGCCTTGTTTATTGTCCATGTTTCTGCTCCATACAATAGGACAGACCATACATAACAGTTTACTAGTCTCAACCTAAGCGCAAATGTCACCTTTTCATTTTGTGAATAATCCTTTCATTGCCAGAAATGTATTCCGAGCAATTTCTATTCTTCTTTTTTATTTCTGTTTCGCATCTGGCATTATCTGTGATATTTTGTCCTAAGTGGATGTAATTACTGACTTGCTCAATGATATGTCCATCGAGTATCAAACATATTCTAGCTTATTCTCTGTTCTACTAAAAAATCATTGACCTAGTTTTCTCGACATTCATGCTTAGACCAAACTCTTCACATTTGACTTTTACAATATCAAAAATTGAATTTCCAGATATGAAAGGTGTTAGTAGTGATAACGCATGTAAAAGAGCAAAAGAATACCAGGTAACAAATTACACCTGGTTAGAGTGTGGAAGGAAAATATTGATTAATGCCTGCCATAGGATGTTAGCTCGTGCCGGGCAGGGAACCCTTGGATTGAGAGTCAAGTGAATGAGCCACTATACCGCACCATTTCTATACGACTCTGAAAATACAAAACTTGAAGGGCGCTGGGCTGCTTTTCATTTATGAAACATTCTTTTCAGTTCTTGATCATTATGATGAGTGAGAACATTTGATTCAACTGCCTAACTTTAGTTATATTAAATAATTGATTTCTGTTGTTGTTCTTTCTTTTCATGAGTGTATCAAGTCACGTCACCATGCGTTATTTTTGTTTGCTGCATGCAGGTATCTTCAATTGTACCTCTGACAGCAAAGCCAGACAGTAAAGGTCAAGTTACCTTTGGGAAGCTGACCTTATCCGGTCCCTGGTGAGTAGATTCATGTTATCTTTCAAGTAGAGTTGAGGATTTCATACTTCAATTTGATGATTAACTTTGATTAAAGTTATGCTAAAAAGGGAATTATACACAATGCTTGCAGACCACTCATTTAAAAAAAAAGATTATTACTGAAACTGCTGTTTAGGATCGTTTGCATGATCTTCATGTGAATGAAAGATGGAGTTAAAAATAAATCTTTAAAATAGGAGGGACCTTTAACTAAAGCTTAGATCTACTGATCTACTAATGATCATTTGCAACTTACACTACGGCACAAACAATGTTGAAGAACTGATCAATATGTGCGCATATCAAATACATAGTGATGACATCATCGCATGCAGTTGCCTACAGTGGATAAATGCAGATTTATGACATCATGATACAGTATGCATTTGTTTTGTGTGATATCATATGCCATGCACAGTATTTATGAATAGTACATTTAATACTAATCATGGCTCGTGACAACTGCTGTCAGCTTATGGTAACTTGCTCATGTACATGAAGCCCTTGTGAATTGTATTTCATCACATGATGCACAATGGACCGATTACGCAGATTCTTTGTATGGCGGATATAAGATGAATTTAGAAACAAACATTTCAGCTGTCTCCGCTGTCTTGTAACCTAACAGTGGGAAGTACATGCTACAAGCGAAAATGTCCATGGAGTGGTCATCCCTCTTGAGTTCTGATCTTGCTGTTGAACTCAAGCCAGATCCCAAGAAGGCACATAAACTTCAGGTGGACTACAGAGAAGGGTGTGTCTACATTGCTGGGGATCTTTCTCCAGGTTAGTGTAGGGGTGAAGCACGATGGCAACGCTGATGTTGATGGTGATAGTTATGATGATGTTGATGATGGTGATGATGACGACGATGGTGATGATACTTATGGAAAGGATTGAAAGATAATTGGGAACAGCAAGATGGTAGGGATAGCAATTATCATAATGAGGAAACTATTTTCTGTATAGAAATAGGAAGTTGTCATTTGTGTGTTACTTAATTTGGTTTGCCTTTAAAAAATTCCGATTATAGCAAAGCAAGTGCTCTCTTTCAATCTCCTAGATTTTGACATCTCTTTAATTGCTGCTGATGAGAGCACCATGACTAAAATCCCTCAGGAGAAGATTTCCATGAGTCTATGGGAGTCCACTACCAACGATCAACACTCTGGTCCGCCACCACAGAGGGCGCAAATTACAGGCATGGACAAGCCCAGTGAGGAGGATAGGGAAGGACATTTCTACTGCAGGTGAGAAACACAAAACGAAATCTCTAAAGATTACTTCTACAAACTCAACTTCTTTCTAAACTAGGGCAGGCCTCCACATTAACGTTTTTGTAGGTGGTCTGGCTTGAGATTTTAAGGGGCTGTTTTTTGTTGAACTATTTCTTTTAAAATTCATGGTCTGGACTGACTTTAAATGTTGTATGCCCATGTGTCCAAGCTGCCTGATGGTGTCAATCCGTGCCTAGGGGGAATGTAAATGTGTTATCAAGCTTACAAGGTAAGACTTTTTTGTTTTTTAAGGAGGCAAAGAACAAATTATTACATTATTGGATATTCGCTTTTAGAATTTCAGCCAATTAAATACTTGTGTACTGTGAAGTTGACTAAAAGAGACTCTTGCCTCTTGCCCAGTCAGGGATGTCAGAACAGATAATTTTGAATCATACATCAAATGTTGTAGTATATACCTTTGTATTTATACATATATATATATTTTTTATCAATTATTATACTTAACATCAATATATTAAAACATTTTGGACCATAATTTGACTGTAAATCTGAGGGAAAGACTTGATTAAAAGCTCAATTATCCCCTTAAACAAGAATATGTGATAAATGATGTGAAGGTAACGAAAGGTAGCCTTAGAGGAGTATCATCTCTTCTCCACCACTATACAATAACTGAAAATTAAGAATTTCTATAGATAATGATAAGGTTCAGTAGCTTCATCTATTGTTTTTACTTTTTAGAAAACGAAAACTACCCCCAAAGGCACGCATGCATTGGATAATGTTTCAAGCTTCCCTGGATCAACAGATGCTCTACTCTGAACCGGTGAGTAGGAACAAGGATAGGGAGGAAGGGGTGTATTGGAGGGTAACCCCACCAAGGTAGGTTACTACGACACATGCACAGGCAACAATTGTTCCACAGTGAATTTCCTACACTAACCAGGGTTGTTGTGCGGCAGCCATCGGTTTTGCTTGTACAGAGTATGTCAAATTAGACCCACCCCCCCCCCCCTCTCTTCGCCCCTCGTGCAAGTTGTTATAAATCCTCAATTCCAGACAAGTTATGTGTCTTTTGTATAAACCCCTATAATGGGGCTTTCGAGTAAAGTGGCATGTCGGTCTACAATGCAATAGACTTGTAGAGATCACACAAGATTTTTCCCGTCCTCAGTACCTCTGTTCGTATTTGTGAATGTGTTTTTTCCGTGTTTCTTCCTGAACCCATTCAGATTGGGTTTGACATCCAGCCTGGTCCACCAGTAAAACTGATCCCAGAGATAGCCCCGCCAACTCCCATTGTATGCAATACACCTCAAGCACATAGCAGGACTCTCAGCGAAGCGCTCAGGCTACAGCTTGTGGTAAGTCTTTTCTTTTTTGTGACCACGCTGCCCCATATATGGGGTACCCCATTGAAAATGGACTGGAGTCTATTGAAACTGTGTGTTATATCAAAATTAAATCGATTGGGTTAAACATGGATGTAATTTAAAAAAAGGATTTTGTCAGATTTCAAGCCCTTGGCCCGTATTCAATTCCGCACTTAAGCTTGAAATATGAGTACTTTAGTTAGAATTCGACTTAGAAAAAATACTTAGCCAATTTTGGTATTCAGTTCAAACTTTTGGTCAAGTATTTTCCCCTAAATTTAAGACAGCTCTTTACCAGACTTAAGCCAATTATGTGAAGGCCTCGATAACAATGAATCATAACACTTATATTAGCGTGCATTATTTTATTGCGACGTATTGATTGCGCATTACTTTTGATTGACTGTTTGATGTAGCAATGCTTATCAGAAAGTATTCTACTTAGATTTTGTCTTACGTATGTAAAAATCTAAAATGTGATTTGAATACGAGATAAGTAAAGTTCTTAAGTAAAGCTATTAAAGCAATTTACTTAGTAAATTTCTTACTTATTCTAAGTATCGAAGTGAATACTGGCTCAGGTACGTGTCTGTTTCAGGCTTTTTGCTGTTTTTGTTTGTTAGCCTATTTGGCTTTTTTAACACATGAGGAGGTGCAATGGCTCATCAGTAGTATATATAGCAGTTGTCTCACAACCGGGAGGGCCCGGGTTCAAAATTAAGTCAATGTACGTGTGCTTCAGCCCTTTGGTAATACATCCTCACTACCAAGTTCCTTGGAGAGGGGTCGTTCCCCTGGTTGCAGTACAACAATTGTCAAACATAGGATAACAAGCTAGTTGAGTGAAACTAATTTATATCATTATAAATATTTAACCTTCACCTTCTTTGATCTCTAGACTGCCTTTGTCAATAAGTTTATTAAATGTGAAATTGGCAAGCAAATCATCCAAAGAACAATTGGATGTTAACCACCTTTTTTTGGTGGTACTTGTAGGATGACTTTGGGAATGTGACCGGCAAAGATTTGACGGATAACATTGAAGTTCATGTGAAAGGCAACAATGGAGCTGAGCTGCCTAAACTCCAGGGCAATAAGAGTATGATGCAGTTCCCGTTGAATAAAGGCATTTGCTTCATTCAGGCGAGTCTCGTACAATTTGTTTCTCTCCCTAATTCCTCCACCGCTCCCCTTCCCCATTCCCCTCCCTCTCCTCCCCCTCTCTGTCTTTCTCTCTCTCCCTTCCCTTCCTCCCCTCCTTCTGCTCCTTTATCTTGCCAACCAATGATAATTACAAACAAGAAACCAGTATTTTTGATGAATTTAGTTTTAGAGGTTTGGTCATGGAATAGTTTAACTTTCCCCATCTGATAGAAATATACGTGAAGGAAAAAATAAATATTTTATTGACAAGATGTATTTGATTTCATTTCAGAACATCTCAATTCAAGAGAATACGCCAGGACATGATGGAAGTGAGTACAATTTACACTTCTCACTAAAGAGCAAGGGACCTGAAGTGAAACCGTACATCCAGCCATTTCTCTTCTATAATAGTAAGAACAATGTTGGAATTTAAGGCATTTCAGTCATAATTGACCATTTCTGCATTAATAATGATGATACCGGTTTCTTTAATAGCATTTTCCAATTTCCTGACCAAAGTGCTATTAACAGTATTATTATTATCCCGGTCACTGGATTAAATTACTATTCTGGACATCACTCAGGCTAGTCACCTTCTCGCAAATGCTAGTTAAAAGACAATGACAGTGGCATCCTACCAGGTACCCATTTAATCCCTGGGTAGAGAGAAGCAATGTAGATAAAATGCTTTGCTAAGGGACATAAAAGCCGTGCTGGGGCTCAAACCCACGACCTTTGCTTTTCCAGGCAAGGGATTAATCCAAGTCAAGTGCACCAGAATGGCAGAAGATGGATTGAAATGGAGAGAGATATTGCAATCAACCTCCGAACCGGGAGAAGATACTTAAGATAGATAGATAGATTAATCCACATTATGAAACGGGTTCTATAATCTAAGCAATCCGATTGATCAATTGACTTCACGTGGATAACCCATGCTCGATATCTACCAATATCGCTTTCGCTTAATTCAGCCAAATTGAATTTGTGCATAAGTTTCAATATCTAGATCTAGGATATTCTAGGCCTAGATCTATTTATTTAGATCTAACTTAGATCTAGATCTAGACTATATTGTAAGAATTTATGACTGACCCGTGTTCAGGCGCGGATCCAGGATTTCTTAGGGGAGGGGGCCCAACTTTTTTTTTTTTTTGCTCCCGATAATTTGAAAATCGCGCCGGCCGAAAAGTCGCTCAGTGGGGGGGGGGGGGGGGGGGGGGGGGGGGGGGGGGGGGGGGGTACAGAGCACAATTTTTTTTTTTTTTTTTTGCTCCCGAAAATTTGAAAAACGCGCCGGCAAAAAATTCGCTCGGTGGGGGGGGGGGGGGGGGGGGGTAGTGAGCACATTTTTTTTTTTTTTTTTTTTTTTTTTTTTTGCTCCCGAAAATTTGAAAAACGCGCCGGCAAAAAATTCGCTCAGTGGGGGGGGGGGGGGGGGGGGGGGGGGGGGGGGGGGGGTAGTGAGCACATTTTTTTTTTTTGTGATCCTCAAAAAAAATTCAATTTGCACCCCCCCCCTTGAGCGCCAGGGGGGGGGGGGCCCAACCCCAAAAAATCGTAAAAATCACGTGATTTTACATGATTTTTTTCCCCCGGGCCCCCCCCCCCCCTGGCTCCGCCACTGCCGTGTTATTAAACAAATAATGCACTGTTTCGTTCGTGTTTTAGGGCAGGGCCAGTGCACCAAGTTTAGTCAGTGCCCATAATGATAATGCACGCGCCCGCATGGCAAGTGCATTATCGATATCGCACTGACTTACACTAACATACCTGCAACAGTGCATTATTTGTATATTGACTACGACACCTCTAATTATGAGTAACTATACATCTTTCCTGTGTGTATAATTAAATGTATCATTCAATTGTATTAGTTTCTATACCAAATAATACTACTACTTTTATTTTTCCAAAAAAGAAGTGGTAATAATAATAATAATAATAATAATGTAACTTATATCGCGCCAAATCCACTCTGTGGAGTGCTCAAGGCGCGTGTAAACAGGAAAAAAGATCAAGACTTGAAAAGAAATGTTTTGAGATGAGTTTTGAAAGAATCAGAGGATAAACATTTTTTGATGTCTTCAGGAAGGCCATTCCATAATTTAGGACTAGAGTATGCAAAAGATCTTTCCCCCACGTTTTGGTAATTTTGGGGGTTACAAGAAAATTGGAAGTGGATGAGCGTAGAGGTCTTGCAGGAGTGTAGTTTTGGATTAGAGAGATAAGGTATTGAGGAGCAGAGCCGTGAACGCAATGAAAGGTGAGCAACAAAATTTTGAAAACAATGCGATCTTTTACTGGGAGCCAGTGTAGCGACTGCAAAACTGGGGAAATGTGGGTACGCTTGGTGGTCAGAGAAACAATACGAGCTGCAGCGTTTTGAAGCTTCTGAAGCTTGGACACTAGATTCTGGGGTAGATTGATTAGGAGGGCATTGGCAAAATCAAGACGGGAGGAAATCAGAGCATGAACTAATTTTTCGGTGGCAGACTTGGACAAATATTTACGAATAAAACCGATATTACGCAAGTGGTACCTTACAGATCTACAAATATTAAGAACTTGGTTAGACATTGTCATATGTGAGTCAAACATAACACCAAGATTGCGACACGTTTGTGACAAGTGAATTATGTGGCCAGAAAATGAAATGCAATTGATATTAACTTTACTAAGCTGTACTTTGGAACCAAATATAAGGAATTCACATTTGTCTAAATTTAATTTCAAGGAATGTGCGAGCAACCAATCAAGAACATCAGCCATGCAAGATTCAAGGCGATGAACGGCTCGTTCTGCAGCAGCTTGATCTGAATTGAAGGAAATCATAAGTTGAATATCGTCTGCATAAATATGATAATCTATGCCATGTTGTAACAAAACTTGTCGCAATCCAATTAAATAAATTGAGAAAAGAGTGGGCCCGCCCACAGAACCTTGTGGTACTCCACAAGAGAGAGGCAAAGCAACTGATTTGCAACCATTAATACAAACGATCTGAGAGTGGTATGACAGATAAGACTCGAACCATTTGTATGCCTCACCCTTGACACCAAGTGAACTAAGTGTGTTCAAAAGGATAGTGTGATTAACGGTGTCGAAGGCGGAGGACAAGTCTAGCAGCAGGAGAGCAGTTGAGTTTTGTGGTAGTAGTTTTGTGTACAGATGCAGTGGGACTGAACAAATTTCAATTTTCTTTGTGGTTCAGTATTTTCACATGTTTTTACACAACCTTAGATAACTTAAGCACACATCCAAAAATAATTATTTAGACTGTCGGCTCCTAGAGTGGTTACATGTTCAAGTTACCAGTGAAGATCCCAAATATAGTTTCCATTTGAAGAATAGTTAAATGTAGTCGGTGAATGATTCAATCTAAGGATGGAAGTATGAAACCAGTTCTTCAACTATTCATGTGTTTTGATTTTAAGAATATGAAATTGCGCTCACGAAAAAGGGCAAGATCATTTTACAGAGTTTGTTAGGATTTGTGATTTTTTTTATAGCTTGGATGTCTAATCCATGACACTAAATTTCTGTTTTTGTACATAGATGCCAAGAAGCTGCAGCGGATGTCTCAGCTATCGAAGGAGAGAGACACACTCACTGCTTCTATCAAGGCATCCAAAGAACTGTTTGAAGGGATACAACAGCGTCTACAGATGTCCAAAAGTAATGGCTCAAAGGGGCATGTATGGAATATTTTCAGGAGATGGAGGGAATTAAATGTGATTCTGCGGAGAGAGAAGAAAGGGAATGAGAAGGAAAAGAGTTCAAGAAAAAGCCCCATCCACATCATTTGCTTACAAGAGCCATTTTCTCTCCATATACACAGAATAACGACCCCCTCCCCAGACAGAACTATCACCTCTGAATAACCACAGGATTATTACCCTGGCTTTAGCACGGCTGCCATACGGCGCTCTAGCATTTCAAGGAATAAATTTTGACCAGGTACCCATTTACTTCACCTGGGTGGAGTGTGGCAAATGTAGATCAATGTCTTGCCAAAGGACATTAGTGCATTAGATATGAATCAAGCAGAACTCCCTCTCCCATTAAATTTGTATTCATTCGATATCAAAAAGTTAAGAAATGTGTTAATCTGTTTTTTTTATAATGGGACCAATGTTCGAAAAACTGGAACTTTCCATTGACAATGTCTTAGTTTGTATGCGCGCACCAAAAGGGACCGGAGTTTATTTTTTTCTTTACATGTTAGTCATACTTTATCTTACAATAGAAACGTTAGAATATTTGAAGAATAATATTGTGTGTACCCAATTTGGAATATGAGTTTTTTTTTTAATGTACCCCGTAAGGAATTGCATATTTTGCGTTCCATTTACTTTTTGCGGCTTATTTTTTGTGACAGAATCTGCTGAGGATGCTGCTAAGAATGAGCTCGAGTTACGAGAAAAGTTGAGACAATTGGGAGTCCGGGATGCACATATAGCAACGGTGAGAACACAATGTACCCCAAAGCAGGTGCGGATCCAGGATTTCTTAGTGGAGGGGGCCCAATTTATTTATTTTTGCTCCCGAAAATTTGAAAATCGCGCCGACCAAAAAGTCGTAGTAAGCACATTTTTTTTTTTGGTCCTCGAAATTTTTTAAATTTGCAACCCCCAAAAAGGTAAAAATCACGTGTTTTTACATGATTTTTTTTTTGCCCCCCCCCCCCCCCCCCCCGCTGGATCCGCCACTGCCCCAACGGCAGGAACTATCCTTAGAGAATTCACAACATTTTCTTTCCATAACTGTGGTATCGTAAGACTAAACTATTGCAGTTGGCTAAAGTCTCTAGCTGTAGGGATGGCTGTCATTGATAAAATAGTGATAAACCATGATAAACCATGATAAAACCATGTCGCAGAAGCTGCTTGTGAATGCTTGTAATATTGAGGTCTGGTGATAAGGAGCATTTCCAGAGTCTTTTGGATCAACAAAATATGTATAAACTAACAAATATGTGTTGTAAATCAGCTTTCCTGGAGAGCACAACTCATATGTGTACATAGGAGACTGCATGTTCTGCTTATTATTCTTATAAATAATAGCTTATGTTATGTGCCTGCTACTCAGCTACATTTTATGTATTATACATTTTCTAAACAAAAATTTTGGCACATTTTTAATAAAGCAAATTTAAAGATGAGCAGGCGAAAGAATTGAAATAACAATTTAAGTGGTACATAATTATAATATAATGCTAAGAAAGTTGGAAGGGGATTAAAATCATAGATATATGTAGATGGCCACTTGAATAAAACAAATATTCATCATAACAGAAAACTCTATAAAATTAGTAGTTATGTCAGATTTAGAGGAATAAGCACCTTATGTAAACAATTTGCTTTTATTTCATGTTGTAATGTAAACAATTTGCTTTTATTTCATGTTGTAGAGAAAAGAAGTCCAAGAATTAATGACATCTACTAACGAAACAATTGAAGAGCTGAGGAACAAACCTAGAAGGATTTGCAGGATAAAGAGATATGAGACCCGGGATGGTGAAATACTCGGAAAGGTAAGCAATTCTTACCAATGTCTAGTTTGTTATTGTTGTCTTATACTTTTTTTCATTTATAGTGTATACTTCCATTATGAATGTTCAGTGAAATGGAAAAGTGGTAACTTGCGTTTTCTGAAGGATAAAATCGTTTTAAAAAGTCATCATTCATGTTTTGGTAGCAAGAAGAAAAGAAAAAAAAACAGCATTTAAAAAAAAAAAAAAATAAAGTTTGATGTTACATGGCTCTATTTATCAGTATGCAGTCCCACATATTTATTTAACCGTTCTCTAACTCAACCATACTCCACAGGTAGCACACCTGGTTGAGGTAGAAGATGAGAATGTTGCTTATGTGTTATCGTGGCATATGGCCTCAGATATTGACTGCGTCCTCACCACCACACTCGCTAAGGCCAATGAGGTCTTTGAGAACACAAATATGCGTCAACAGGTTCTACCCATCGAGTCGATCTACAAAAACGGCCTGACCGAGTGGGACAAGTGAGTGTGCAAACCAACCTTCAACTCTCATCTTAGTTTCTACAATAGTGCAGGAATGAAGAATTTTTCTAAAAATTTGTCAGTAATGCGCCCTGTTAAATCAAGAAAGGTTAAATTGTCATGTCTATAGAAATGATGGTTTTTATTTGTGAAGTCATCTCATTGGTAAGTTAAAAAAAGTAAAACACACCCTCATTCCTTACCATTGATGCCATTTTTGTTTTGTTTTAAAGTCACCCTGTGTTATTATGCATGCTTACTTATATAGCAAATTATGCTATCGTAGATATACCCTCCCTGAATTGTGTATGAACTCATTTGTAATAGGATCTGAATTGTAAAGGCTTGTACAGATATGACGCAGTAGACCACTGCAAAAAAAACACTTGTTTCACATGGAAGTGCATAGTTACAGCACACAACAAGGTACTATCACTTATTATAGCTCTGCGCTATAAGGTACAGAAATATAAAGAGTATGACACTTACATCATTTAACAAAAAGCCACCGTTAGCCGTTCCATATCTGAGCGAGACTTAATAATAACATAAAAACTGTTGCAATAAAACATAAATCTTTTTCTTTCACTTTACTGCATTATGGTGTCAAGTGCAAGGCCTTTGATATACAAATATTTACAAATATACTATTACCCCGGTCATGGGATTCAGTGCTTGCCCGCACACACTGTGTGCACAATGACGGTCGCATCCTACCGGGTACCCATTTAACACCTGGGTGGAGAGTGGCAAGTGCAGGTTAATATCTTGCCAATGATATTAGTCCCGCGTCGGGATTCGAACCCTCGACCTTCGCATCTCCAGTCAAGCGCCTTAAACCACTCGACATATACTACTCATATTGAGAATAAACTACATTGTACTATTGTTTCATTTGTAGGTACTTGGGAGTATTGGTTCATGTATCCCTGTATTCTCCCTTTCCATTTGTCAGCGTATATTTGTATTTTATAAACCTAACTTTAGTTACGTATGTCAAATTCTAGTTTAAGGAGCCTATCCACAACAAGCTCTGCTTTTCCATAGGCTCCGCTACTATATCTTTTAAATTCAAGTGAAGGATAATTTTCTGAATAGTGTGTACCGGTATTGTATTCATAGTCATTTTGTTGTTACACTCTTTGTATGAGATATTGTGGAAACCAAAGGATGTTGTAAAAAGTAGTTGGATCTCTTCGTGTTCGGTTGACCTTCCTGCACAATTTCTAGGTGGACTACCTTGACAATATGCTGCTGTGAAAAAATGGAGGCCATGCATAAATAATGTACAATATTGAAGATTATTTTTAACAATACCTCATTTTACCATGTGTAAAATAAAAAGAAATATATATTTTCTACAATATGTTACCACATTCAAAAGGTTTGAGGATGATTTGCATAACAATTCTGAGCCAAAATAAGCTTTTCTACTTTTTTTTCCAAGAATATGAATTAAACCAAAATACCCTTTTGTCCATATTCAATAGATCGGATGACTTCTGACTTGAAGTTGCGGAAAAACACTCCGGAAACCCGGTTAATATCATGTATAAATTCCAATGGTTTTATAACAAAGACGCTAAAGCGCTCTAAAATTGACACTTTGATATGAGCTATAATGGTAAATTTGTTCAACTACAAATTTATTTGTTCCACATTTTACAAAAAATATAGATATATGTCTATGTCCTCTTAACGTTTTTTACGTTTTATTTCTCATAGAAGGCCCAATTTTGTTATATATCTCTCTCTATAATGTGTAAAAGGCGTCATTGGAGGGACATTTGGAGTGAAAAAATGAGTCATTAAGTAGACATTAGAGTTAGGGTTAGGTTTAGGCTTGGGTTTAGGCTTGGGTTTTAGGGTTAGGATTTTTATGATGTCCACCTAATGTTCCATGTAGGGATGGAACATGAAGTGGACATCATAAAAATCCTAACACTAACCCTAATATAAGTTGGTATATATATATATATATATACCAACTTATTGTATTAACAAGACATCTATACAGTGTTTATAACCCTACATGGTAAATTAACCGTACATCATCAAAACTGGTATATTAACCCTATCCCTAACCCTAAATTCAAAACAATATAACTAATTAAACTAATGACTAGTGCCCCCCCTCTCCTAGAACAAAATTAGACAAATCTACAGATTTGTGACAGAAACCGATTATCAGAACACCAGCGAATCATACGAGACTTGGAATAAAACTAGATGGAATTTTGACTGCGCGCAGTCGAAAATGATGCCTCCGCCATAGAGCAATTTAAAAAATTCAAGTTTGATTGTAATCCATCTGTCGGTTTTAATGATAATGCACTCACAAGCTATTCATAGGCATACATAATTAGCCCCAATGACCTTGACCTGATGACCCTAAAATATAATCAGTTCATTGGCTCTGCAAGATACATGTACATGTCTTGAGTTTGATAGTATTCTGTCTATTGGTTCTCATGATAATGCGATCACAAGCTATCTGTACATACATAATGAGCCCTGTGACCTTTGACCTAGTGACCCCAAAATCTAATCAGTTCATTGGCTCTGTTATTTAAATACATGACCCAAGTTTGGCAGGAATCCATTGATAGGTTCTTGAAATAATGCGATCACAGCTATTTTTGAAAACATGAGCCCTGTGACCTTTGACCTTCAACCTCGTGACCCCAAAATCCAATCAGCTCATTGGCTCTGTAAGATACATACATGACGTGAGTTTGGCAGGAATCCATCAACCGGTACTTGAGATAACGCGATCACAAGCTATTTTTGCATATATAATAAGCGATGTGACCTTTGACCTTCAACCTTGTGACCCCAAAATCTAATCAGTTCATTGGCTCTGTTAGATACATACATGACCCAAGTTTGGCAGGAATCTATCGACCGGTACTTGAGATAATGCGATCACAAGCTATTTGTGCATACATATAATGAGCCCTGTGACCTTCAACGTTGTGACGCCAAAATCTAATCAGTTCATTGGCTCTGTAAGATACAATACATGATCCAAGTTTGGAGGGAATCCATCAATTGGGTCTTGAGATAACGCGATCACGAGAACGGGACGTACGTACGGACAGACGGACGGACAACCAGAAAACATAATGCCTCCGGCTACTTTGTAGCGGAGGCATACAAAAAATTGAAAGGATTTAAACTGAAACATTCAAATGTACATACTTGGTAATGGGGTTCATGACCTGTCCCCCCCCCCTTCCATGTGACCTGCCAATCCACCCTCCCCTAATTAAAAACAATAGAAGATGGTGCCAAGTACAATAGCATTTAGACAAATCAGTGTATATCATTTATGCCTAGATTGTTAATGGCAAGCATGTATGCCAACACCATATCCTTTTTGCTTACTTCCCCTCTTTCTCTAAAGTTTAACAAAAGTCGATTTCTATAACTGTTCTTTCTTTGTCACGTTTGATCGATTGATTTGTTGGGGGACAAGAAACCATTTAAAGTCATTAGTGAAATAAAATGATATTTCGATTCATAAGACAAATAGGTTCTAAACGAATTAAAAGATTTGTGATAAGTCAGGGGCTTATAAGGGAAAGTGTACAAGCTTTGCACACATAAAAAATAGTTTTAACAAATCGAATGAGGAAAAAGCGAGCAATTAAGCAAAGAAGGCATTTTGATTTGAATTATTTGGTAACATTATGGTTTGTAATGATGTATAACATATATACCTTTGCGAACTGAAAATATTTGAGCATTCCTTCTGATTTGTTTAAAGGCATCGTTTAACAATGTTAATCTGAGATGCATGGCCCTATGTGTTAAAAGTGTCTGTGATATGGCTTAATATTAAAGTGTTTCAAAAAAGTAAAAATCTTTGAGTGATCGGTTGTACCAAGAAGTTCTTGGTTGTACCATACTCATTTCCCCAATAGACTGCAGTGTTATAAAAACCGTTAGGAAAACAAATTCTGAAATTTCTAATTCCAATCATAGATATGTTGATAATCAGACAGGTGATTGGCTTGTAAATGTCATGGGATTCATGTATGACTTACAGGTTTATAACAATAATTGCAGCATGAGCTAAATCCAAAATTTTATTTTTAAATCTGAGACAATGTTACCCGATGAAGAAAAAAGAGGGGGGGGGGGTTCAAATTCTGAACACAAACCGTCCAGTATCTACCAATTTGGTATTGCGTTTAAATCACATCTATCTTTTGAATTCTTGGCCCCATCTTAGTTGAGATTTATCCAAACTAAGGAGCCTAATGCACCTTGTTCAATTCAACTTTATATTTGTTATTAGATTTGTTCTCGAAAGTCGAAGTTTTTTGAAAAGGTTGAAAATAATTTTCTATTGAAAAAGTTGTATCCCTTTTAAAACATTCAAGTTTTTAGGGTGCAATATTCAACAAGATAAGAGGCTGGAGAAACTTACAATAGGGGGCAAAGCAATGGGAATTACATTTTGATGTCAAATTTTGAGCCATTAAAAAGTGCTAATTATAAACAACATCTATATTAAAGCTCAAAATTACGAGATCTAATGCAACCTATTTATGCGAGACGCGATCAAGCTTTAAAAAACTTCTTCTTATGCATTTAGCCTTGCATATTGGGGACCATGTATTCGTGTGGTTCAATTTTGTTTTCCTTTCCCCCATTTCCTCTTCTCTCTTTTACATTTATTGTGCGCCCCCCTTTTTTTTTGCTCTCTTCAAATACACATGCCCCTACCCCCATAGAGATGTCACTATGTACCGAATAAATAGGAACCTGTAGATTTGTGATTGGTTGAAGGACTTTCGATCAAGTTAAGGCTCATTTAGATATGATACGGCAAAACCTCTCCAGACTTTTTAACGATGATGTAAAGTGTAATATGCTTCACGTCTATTTATCTGATAACACAGCTAATTAAGTGAATACACGTTGGACCTTTGATGCGCGCAGTTACCATACGTGTACACGTTTTAAAAGTTACGGTAGATTTTGTGTGTGCTGTAGAATACAGCATCATGTGAACGAGCTATTTCTCCCAAAATTCATCCTTTTGAACTTGGTTCATTTCATTTTTGTGTTTTTTGACAGGCCTCTACCACACACGAGAGTACCCATGAACCATGGTCAAACCCCATCAGGCAACCCTGTGTATGCAAGGCACCTTTTAAGGTTCACTGGTCATGAAGAGAATTGCAAGATAGGTGTGTAGAGAGTTTTTTTTTTTTTAAATCTCTCTCGAAAAAAAAAACAGGGACATTGCTATAATGTAAACATTAACAGTGCATGCAACAGAGTATATTATTTTGATTAATGGATTTGCCTCCCCCTCCACCAACCCGGTTCTAGAGATGGATGGTTGCTGCTTGTACTGAGTGTAGTGTTTTTGAAAAAGAAGTTATAGTAGTACTGTTGGTTGCAGTGATTATAGTGGGTCAATGTCGCTATTCATAAGGACCGCTATTCATAAGGTCCGCTATTCATAAGGTCAACTATTCATAAGGACCGCTATTCATAAGGTCCGCTTTTCATAATTGGAGAAAAGGGTCATTATTCATGAGGGTCATTATTCAGAAGGACCGCTATTCATAATCAAAGAAGAGGGTCGGTATTCATAATAGGAGAAGAGGGTCGCTATTCATAAAACGACGTGAGGGTCGCTATTCATAAGGGTCCCTATTCATAATATTACAAAAGGGTCGGTATTCATAACACAGAAAGAGGGTCGCTATTCATAATACGAAATGAGGGTCGCTATTCATAATACGAAATGAGGGTCGCTATTCATAATGGAAAATGAGGGTCGCTATTCATAAGGGTCATTATTCATAAGGGTCATTATTCATAATCAATGAAAAGGGTCGCTATTCATAATAGGAGAAGAAGGTCGCTATTCATAATACAACATGAGGGTCGCTATTCATAATAGGAGAAGAGGGTCGCTATTCATAATAGGAGTAGGGGTCGCTATTCATAACAGGAGAAGAGGGTCGCTATTCATAATAGGAGTAGAGGGTTGCTATTCATAATACAAAATGAGGGTCGCTATTCATAATAAGGAATGAGGGTCGCTATTCATAATAGGAGAAGAGGGTCGCTATTAATAAAAGAGTAGAGGGTTGCTATTCATAATACAAAATGAGGGTCGCTATTCATAATACGAAATGAGGTTCGCTATTCATAATAGGAGTAGGGGGTCGCTATTCATAAAAGGAGTAGAGGTTCGCTATTCATAATACGAAATGAGGGTCGCTATTCATAATAGGAGAAGAGGGTCGCTATTCATAATAGAAGTAGGGGTCGCTATTCATAATAGGAGAAGAGGGTCGCTATTCATAATAGGAGTAGAGGGTTGCTATTCATAATACAAAATGAGGGTCGCTATTCATAATAAGAAATGAGGGTCGCTATTCATAATAGGAGAAGAGGGTCGCTATTAATAAAAGAGTAGAGGGTTGCTATTCATAATACAAAAGCGACCCTCTTCTCCTTTTATGAATAGCGAACCTCATTTCGTATTATGAATAGCGACCCTCATTTCGTATTATGAATAGCGACCCTCTTCTCCTATTATGAATAGCGACCCTCTTCTCCTATTATGAATAGCAACCCTCTTCTCCTATTATGAATAGCGACCCTCATTTCGTATTATGAATAGCAACCCTCATTTCGTATTATGAATAGCGACCCTCATTTCGTATTATGAATAGCGACCCTCTTCTCCTATTATGAATAGCGACCCTCTTCTCCTATTATGAATAGCGACCCTCTTCTCCTATTATGAATAGCGACCCTCTTCTCCTATTATGAATAGCGACCCTCATTTCTTATTATGAATAGCGACCCTCATTTCGTATTATGAATAGCGACCCTCTTCTCCTATTATGAATAGCGACCCTCTTCTCCTATTATGAATAGCGACCCTCATTTCTTATTATGAATAGCGACCCTCATTTCGTATTATGAATAGCGACCCTCTTCCCGTGTTATGAATAGCGACCCTTATAAGTAATGAACCTTATTTCGTATTATGAATAGCGACCCTCTCGTCGTATTATGAATAGTGACCCTGATTTCATATTATGAATAGCGGTCCTTATGATTAATGACCCTTTATATGAATTATGAATAGCGACCCTCATCTCACGTTATGAATAGCGGTCCTTATGATTAACGAACCTTATTTCTTTATGAATAGCGACCCTCTTTTGCCATTATGAATAGCGGACCAGGAAGTACGGGAATTTGCACGTTATGAATAACGGTCCTTATGAATAGCGGACCTTATGAATAGCGGTCCTTATGAATAGCGAATAGACCCCGCAGTCAGAGCCTATTTCGTACTACATGTGTTAGGATTACGGAGTGTACCTCACATGGCTCAGAGTTTTAGTGGTTTTGGGTTTAAGTTGGGAATTTGATAAAAGTTAATAATTGCATGCAGAGCAATTGTCACCCAAGCATATGTCATGCGAGTCAAATTCTCCGGAGCTTAAATATGTGGGTGGTTTCAGAACAGCTGGGTCTACATATATATACCCTGACAATTGTTTAAAAAAAAAAAAATATAATTGTCAAATGATATTTCCTGTTTTGTTTGTACAGCCTTCAGGCTCTTGCTACAAGATAACATACTCTTGGATACTTTGGATGACGCAAGAGCATACAGACAGTCAGTAAGTTCATAGAGATGCTTTTTGTCTACATTATAATATTTTTGATCGTGTTTAGGGTAATGCTTATAGGCAAAGGAATCTAATTGCTTTGCAAAAAAAAAGAAGGTAAATACCTCTGTTATTTCTGAAGATATCACTGTGAAATTCTGCCATGTCTCCTTATTCCAGTGCTGAAAACGGTACTCACTTTACTTTAAAATGCTTATGAGTATATGGTAATGAAACTTTCTGTAAATCCTACATGTAGCTCCATCAAGCAAGTAGGCAATACAAGAAAGATTGTTGCTGACTATATTTTCATTTGAATTGATTGTAGCTGACTATATTTTCATTTGAATCGAGAAAAAAAAGTATTGTAGATTTCAAAGTGGAAACCATGTTTCATTCCTTGTCCTCTGTCTTCTCCCTTCTTCAGATTGTGAAACACATGCACTGCCCCACTCTCCTCACCCGCGACGGCAACTGTATCCGTGGCAGCGGAAAATTTGGAGGATTTCGGAACCGATGTCCGAAAGACCTTCAGGGATGCGTCTTTGGGGAACCTCCTCCCAAACAGTTACAATCACTGGAGAAGCAGATGGGTAAGTCCTCATAGCCAGAGTATAGTCTTAACTGGTTGATTAATTGTCTTTTGGGCAAGATTACCTGTCTAACGCAATCAATTGCGACACTATAGATAAGAGACAGGCAATTTCAACTTTGTGATTGATTAGAGAATTTGCAATCATTGTGGATCACTTGCAACTTATTGATAATAAGGAGCTAGACATGCTGGCTTGCAAAATCCTTGTCTTAGTAAACAGTTAGAAAAGAGGATAAGGATAAGATTTTAGCGTAAAACCATTCACAAAATTGTTGATCTGCTTGTACGTTTTGCTATATTTTTTTACAGGACTCATAATGTAACTCAGCTTGTATTTGTTATGTGACCAATTCCTTATAGCTCTTGAAGTTTTTATCTAAAATTGATTCACAATTTCAATCAAATTCAAATAGAGAAACAAACTGCATTATTTATCCTTTGGGAATTTTAAATCATGAGCAAATTTACATTTTTGTTCTCTTAATGTAATGCAGTGATCCTGGAGCAGATCATGCATGCCATCGAGAGTCGTGAGCAGGCTGAGGTAGAGTACAAGGATCAGGAGGTAGCCCTAAGATCAGATAATATGGTTACCAAGCAACGGAATTGCCAGGAGGACGAGGAACAGCTTGCCCTCATCAACCAGAAACTCAGTAAGTCTGTTTCTTTCAGAATTGAAATCGGTAGACCGGAAAGCTCGTAGTTGGTGAATGTCTGCTGGAATTTCTAAGCATGTGCAGTAGAAGTGGCATGGTCCAGCAGATACGTCGTCGAACTGTCGATCACCATTTAATGGAAAAGTTTATTGAAAGTTTGCTAATCGTGGATGTTTTGAGGAAGGTTTGTGGTCACAAAGATGAAACTACAGGAATCAAATTCCCAGATCTTTCTCCCAGCATGACCGCACGATCTCAAAGTATTTAAAAACCAAATTTTGTAAATTCATGAATTTAGAACATTTAGAACAATTCAATTTAGAACATGCAAGTAAAACATTCAGTGAGCATTTTATTTTGTCAATACATTTGCTCTAGTCAATGCTGAGCAGGGAATATAGCTAACCATGCTAAGTGATTGTGTTGATCAGTTAACGTGGCTTATCCTAAATATTGTTATTATTTCTGTCTCTCTACCTCCGTCTTCCTCGATCACAGAATTGGCTGTAGCTTCAAGCAAAGATCGTTCTTCGATTCCAATTTCCATCACATCTTCCAACTCAAGTGGGCAGTCCACTTCCCGAGGAACGATGAGACGGTCAGCACCCTCTGTGCCAGGGGCTCCTCAAACCAAAAGAAGGAAACCATAATGGTATGACCCCTCCTTCAGCTGTGATTTGTTTGCTTCAGACACCCCCTCCCCACCATTCCACACTGTCAATGTTTAAACAATACCTATATGAAGCACAGTAAATGTCATTTGTGTGTTCAAGATTGTATATAATATTTGTATTGGAAACTCAAATCCTTGTACAAATTGTGAGCATATATACCACATCTATGTAGACTGATATAAAGTAACACTGTTCTGGCTCTGAGCAGACACTGCCTTTTAGTGACCTCTCCAGATATCTGCAAATGGTCGACACTTATGCTACGTTTACACTATATTCCCCGCGGCCACGGCAGACCGTTTGCCCGAAACGTAGTGCGCCGTGGGATTTGGGCCATTTTCTTCTCTGTATTCAAGTTTTGTTACGTCTTGCCAAGTTTTCTCACGGTCTATCACGGTTTCCGTGACGGGCCGTGGGAGGCAAAGGGGATGCTGTCCTGGAGGCCCCAAGGCACACTTCGTTCGGCCTGCGCTCTATCACGGATGCCAGTAAGTTCCCTGCCGGCCCGTCGCGTTCTGATGGGGACCCTCACGGTCTTTTCACGCTCTGTCAAGGCTTCTACAGATACAAAAAATGACATCGGGCAGCTTTGAAGCACGTTTGTTCCCACGGTATAAAAAAGGGCCTCCCAAGCAAAGCAATCATTGCATCCTGCGACCAGCGCGTCGTGTCACACCGAAGTAGAACGCAACGCGCCTTAGCTAGCCGTGCCCGTACACCGTCCCTACGGACGTTTTGTTATGGCCAATTACGTACTGTCAAGCTTTGTTGTGTCCACCCCGTTTTACTTCGGCCTACTAGGTTCGTCATCCGTACCGTGCCTGCCGTGGCAATTTTGTTGACAGTTTAAAAGTCTGGCCCGGCATCCACGGCAATCACGGCCTGTCACGTTGTCCATTCAGTCCTCCTGCGTTGTCTCACGTCCATCCCGTTTTATCCATCGTGGCCTGAAACGTGACTGCCGTAGCCGCCGGGAACATAGTGGAAACGTAGCATAACCCTTGAGTACGAACAAACTCATGGCAGCCCTCTTGTGCTGAATGTTGTTTTGATGTTTGATGATGTATTCTGAAATGTGGAAAAATAAATAGAATAATGCTATTCCTACCTCATTTCCTTCATCCTTTCTAACTTATTTCTCTCTCTCTCTCTCTCTCTTGCTCTCTTATTTTATTTGTTGTTTGTTTTGTTTTGTTCTTTAAAATCTATCTTTTTATTAAAGATAGACTTTATGTGTGTGCGCGATGTACATACCATTTATATCAAGAACCTCCATACGTGCTTCTGTTATATGTACTTTGACTGGGGAATAGGGTCATGGGGAGAATATGATAGTGCCTTATCTGTGTACATATCAAACATGTAGTTAAAGATATTTATAGGAATATTTTGTCTCTCTGTTTTAGTTGTAACATAGATTTTAGTAGTCAAATCCAATCAAAATATTTTAAATTGTAGAAGGAAAAAGACAAATTTCCTCATGGATGTATTTGTTAGGAAAAACATTAATTTGTTGTTTAAAAAAAAGATGTGTAAATTGTATGGTATTATTTTTTTGTCACTTGTAAATATATGCATAGTCGGAGAGCCTCCCTGAAGATCAGGAGGGTTGGCATCTCCATATTTTAGTGTTACAAATTATAGATGCATATCCTTAATAGATTTTACCTATATTTCAACATTTGACGGATTTTGTTTTGATGTATATATAATTCTAATCAACACGGTCTGGCTTTTAACTGAACCATTGTTAAACTTACAAGCTAGAGAATGACGCATGTTTATGAAATTGTAATTTAAACAAAAGTCATAATTGAGCTGACAATATGAGGTATCTTGTCATTTTGAACCAATCAATTAAATTTAGACTTTCATTCCTTGGATATAAACTTAATAATGCATATTGCCAATCTTTGTAATTTGTCATCATTACTAACACAAGTGATGCATTTGTAGATGTATTACTATCATTCCTTTAAAGGAATCACTTATATGTACATCCTAATGAATAATCAGCATCCCTTGAACGAAAACTATGTTTGATATTAGCACGCTCTCGGACAAATCGGCTATAAAACTCATTTGTACCGTACCTAGCTCTATACGAATATTAAATGATGCAGGTAATATATAGAGCAATAAAACAATAATAGTAATATTAATTCAATAATCAGGGTGATAGTGAGCATTAAAAGAAAAGAGGGGGGGGGGGGAATCCTCAACCACCGGCACCCGTCCCCCTCCACTCTTGATAAAATAAAACAAAAGACGAAACCGATTTAAATCGGGTAATTATCAGGCCTGAATAATAATAATAATAATAATATAATGGTGATGATATTACTGACAATAATAACAATAATGATAATAATAACAATTATAATAATGATAATGACAATAGTAAGACTATGAAGAAATTATAATAATGCAATACATTATTGATAATTGTAAAAACTTATCCTTATTCCACCTCACGTGGTATACATGTATATTATTTTCGATGCATGACTATATCTTTGATTGTTAATTGCGATCTTATCGTTTTCTGTTAACTCAAAAATTATTTCATTGAATTTTTGTATGAGTGTTTATGTTATATAAATATGTGTATCGTAATACCATGTAACACGACGAATTTCCATTGTAAAATGGACAATAAACACGAACCTTATAAACCTATACGGATTTATAATGATGATAAAGTCAATAAACTACACATGTATGCAACAAAGCAAAAAACTTACAAATCTCTGTGTCTTTATTCTTAACATTTATCTGTACACAATAAAATCAGGAAATGTCTGTGTTTGTCTGTTCGAAACTCCCCTTCCCGACATGATCAGGGTCTGGCAATCCCAGGGCAACACCACTTCTAGAGCTACTGAGTGGCTCTGTTTGAACAGGGTCGGTAAGTGTTTCAGTATCAAAGTTAAGAGTGTTCAGCATGAAGGCAAAGGGTCTCCATTGTACAAGATTCAATTGCTGGGTGCGTTTCTTTTTGGCTTAAATGCTGTGCTTGATCTGGCTGAACCTCCATTTGTGGACTATAGGCAGTTGATGAATTACTTTTTCTTGAGTAACGAGTGTAACTAGGCTTCTCTTGCTAGAGTATAGTGTCTCATATGGTCCACGTAGCAACGTACTTGTCTACCATATTCCAACTCTATGGTATAAATTTACTGTAAGCGCAGTCCATTCTTCTCAAAACACTCCCATGCTGCTTCCAAGTTGGCTAGGTGCTCCTCATCTGTGGTTCCACTCACGATTATGTCGTCCAAGTATTGGCTACAGATCGGCACTTCTGCTAACAGCATCTTCATCGTTCGCTGAAAGAAGGTAGGTGCGCTTGCTATGCCAAAAGGCAATCTGTGAGCGTTAGTACACTTTCTGATGTACAATCTGATGGTAGCCATGAGACGAGTATAGTTCGCTGGATTTCTCTCCGCCTTCCAGATCTTGCAACATATTCTCTAGACTCGGTATTGGGTACTGTTCAACACGAAGCATCTTATTGGCTGTGAGTGTTTAGTTCCCACAAACACGTACTTTACCATCGGGTTTCCTTACAGCAACGATCGGGCAGGCAGGCTCCGAGAACTTGACTGGCTCGGTGACCCCTTCTTTTAGGAGCTAGGGGGGGGGGGGGTTTTAGGGATTTTTTAGGGGGGTTTACACACATAAAAATACCAAAGGGGGGGTTTAACCCCCCAAACACCCCCCCCCCCCCTGCGTACGCGCCTGCATTCATGTCTCCTGTATTTTTCCATCACGGTACTTATTTATATTCATTATTCGGACCACGTGTGTTTTTCCTTCCAATCGAGCACCATGGTTCCGCGCATTCCTTCACCCGCGTATTTTCATCACCACGAGGTTTTCTCCACTCCCGCTTACACCTCGGTCGAGTCAACAACTCCTGCTTACATCTCAGTTGAGTCAACACGTCTCTGCATGATTTCTTCTCCGGGCTTGTTTCTACTGTGCCTATCACTTCTATCGGCACATCTTCACTTTCTCTGCCGTGTTCATCGGGCTGCAGTCTTCCAGTGGAACAGTTAAATCTAGTTCCGACATATATGGTGCTTGGTTATCCGCTGGGAGCTGCCAGTTTCTTCACCGGTAGTCTTTCACTCACATGAGCTCGACTCACCGCAGCTCATCTAAACATTCACCATCAAAGTTCGGCTCATCAATCGAGCGACTCACCGTCTCAGCACCACTACCGGCTTTGATGTCTGCATTTTCCACTTTGGCCTCCGACATCAAGCGACTCACTGCTTTCGTCATCGAGCGCCACACATCTCTTCTCTTCTCTTCTATTCTCGCCCGAGAGCTCCATCTACATTCATCATCATCACGAGCGTCGGCGACGACATCGCGTCCTTCACGGTTCTTCAACCACGTCAACGAAGTCGCGTTTCCGCCATCAAGCCTCCGCACATTTCATCGCGTGAGCCCCTTCCTTCGTTCTCAACTCTCTTCTTCTTCATTGGACTTTCAACCTCATTTCCACTCTGTCGTAAGCGCTATTCATTTCATTATGTACATCGCATTTATTCATGTTCATTATCATCATTGATCATTATGTAATCTCCGTGCAATATTCACATTTACCATTTATGCATTTTCATTCCGATTCATCGACTTGTGCTTGACTACACTTTGCAAGTGTACGTCAGCCTCATCAGTACCCAATAAACATAACGAAAAGGGAATACTTTCTTTTATGTATTTTATTGTCAGTGCAACCTTGTATCCTCGTAGCTAAAATAAAAATAAGAGTTATGTTGTGTGACGAGTGAACACGCTTTCAAATATCCATTCACATTACCTCACACTCATATCTCTAAAGTGGTGACCCCGACGTTTACTTGGAAGCTTGGTTGTACGATTTTATTATTCCCTGACTTTTTGGACCTAGCAATGTTTTATAAAATGTATTCATTCTGGATTATGTATCGAATGTTTTTTATGCT